TTGCTGTACTTATCTCACTGAAATTGTTTAAAGACTTACTGCCGGTGTATTCAGACTAAGTGTGAACATCATATACTAAATGTATGCTTAGGGACTTCCTTAGGAATCATTATACAAGTTTATCGCAAAACGAAAAGACGATCTTCAAAAACTCTTTCTTTTCGAGAATATTTATTTACTTTCAAGGTATGTAACATTGTTTAATAAACTTTCTTACATTGCGAAATTACCAAATACCAAGATAATAATATTTTAGCGTATTTAACTTATATTAATAATAATAAAATGCTACAGATTATAACTTCGAAAACCTAGACGTAACAAAAACCCAGAAGAAAAATAAAAAAATCCCTCTGCAGGATTCGTTAGAAAGCGCGTAGTGTTCCGTATAAAACATTCAAGAGCTTTAAGTGAAGGAAGAAAAGGTGGAGAAAATTCTTGCGCTTGCTTTAAAATATTTTGCATTACAGTATACCGAATCAGTCGTTTTAAACCCTGGGTAACTTTAAGTTACTTTTATCAAAATCTAGCATATCTTTTTATGTTTCTATTTCAATAGAACAAGTTAAACAAAATAACTATTTACCTAAAAAAACAAAATAGGCTTTTTAGGTAAATTAGACATCTCAACGAAATCAACAATGTTATTCTAAAAATTATAAAATTAATTTCTATGTTGTCAACCTCATTATATGTTCTACGTAATTATATATCTTCATTTATATTCCATGTTCATAAGTATGCTAAATAAGTTTATGCTTTCTCGAATAAGAGAGAGCCTTGAATTATTTCCATCACGTACACAATGGGTGCAAATTTATGAACAAGTGAGGATTTGTGGGATAGAATATCTCTTTATAAGAATATATAGTTTAGTAAATAATACAAACTGTTGTCTTTCATGTTATACTTAAAGTTTTAGCAATAGAATTATACGGTTAGACGAAAAAACGTTACTGAAATAATGAAAAGAGGTATGGACACCGAGTAAAAAATTCACGGAATGAACAAAGCTGCAAATACATGTACATACAAGTATGTACGTTAGATAATTTCTTTTCCAAGCGTATTCGCTGCCAACATATTAGTAGACTTGGTTTTAATTGCATTACATTTTTAAGAATTTTTAATTTGTTTTTAGTTTAGATACAAAGCCTTGTGTATGGTTTTACAAAATTTAAAGTCGTCTTTATTGCGATAAAGGCATTCGGTTGCCTCGCGGGGCCATCTGTGAGTTGCTACCAAATAGCTGCACAGGCCTCGGGGGCCACGCCGCTGTACATTTAACTCTACATTATTAAAGCCGCTCGCTCATAGAGAATTTGCCGTTTGATGTGTTTATGTAATAATAGTGGATTTCTACTGAAAAATCACTTGCATGAAAATGTTATAATTCCTATCATACTCTTTAAAAAACGTCAAAAATGCGCTTTTATTTAAAATGTTAAAACAGGTGTTTGTTGTGTAAATAACATGTATTTATATGACACATTTATACCGTTTTATATGTTCTTTTACAAATTGTATTGTATATACTTTTACTAAATTGGCATCTAGTTAAGACCTTATCAGTGACCTTTTCTAAATAACATGATTGCCCAAAATGTAAAGAAATCTACTCATCTTGATTACATTTATTTTATTTAAAAGTATAAATTCAATTGAAGTAGCGTATCAGTTCTCGCGAACGATAGATCGGATTAGGAATCAATTGAGACCACGGGAATTTCAACTTATATGTTTTAATTATAACATTTATTTAAACATTCCTAGTCAGTCTGGTATTAGACACTTCATTTAAACAAACAGGACCAAGATTTTCATTGATGTTCTTATCAAAAGTAATCTTCAAATAGATGTTAATAAAATGTTTATATATTTTGCCTCAATCATTGAGTTTTCGTCGAAGGAAACTTTTGTAATGAAATCTGAATCTGTATTAAGAACGTTTTCCACCCGAAATGCCATTTAACTAATTATATTTGGTCGTCCTATTTTCCTCAAAGATCAGATTTATCGTGATTGAAGTTTGTGCTCAAGGCGAAATAGACAGGACTTTATTATATTATTGTATTTAGAATATTATACGTCACTGCTAAGATGTCTATTCCAAACATCTAGATTTTAAGTAATAAAAAAATGAACTAATATTCATTATTATGAGTATTTATAATTAAATGAATATAAGTAATGTAACATTTTCTTTGAATTTCCCAGTTACTAAATAAATTAATCTATCTGTGTTTGTCAAAAGAGTGATAATTCGACATACGTGCAGACTTTTACCTTACAAAGACAAGATTTAGTATACCATAGACTACTAGGCTCTTAACTGTGGACGCCCTCTGCCCTACTTCGGAGACATAGGATATTAAGAAGAAGAAGACTAGGCTTTAGCTAAAAATCTTTAAGTTGAAACTCATTACAAATAAGACATTCAAAGAACCATTGAAATTCCTAACTCATATAGTACGAAAATAGACCAGAGAGATATAAATTATCTAAACATTAACAACTAAAAGAATGTAATAATAGGAATAAAAATCAAGCATGGAATACTTTTATATCCATTCCATTTTCGTTTGCGTTCACTTAAATATTTAACGAACATACGCTCAGGAATGGCCTTTACTATAGGTATACAAAACGAGTAGCTATTTCATTTAGTGACAATAGATCTCGATTGAAAAAATATAAACCCTGCAACACAAATTCAGTTTTAAGTTAAACTTACGTATGTCGGCGGAACTGAGAACTAGACGCGTAGCAGAAAATTTGCAAGGAAATATTCGTAACGTCATCGACCAAATTTGTATCCATTAGATTTATATAGAAATTGTGACTTTGTCCGCGTGAAATTAAAAAAAGATTATAAAAAATATATCCTATGTTACAGACCTTTCTAATAGTGAAAAAAAAAATGATATCGCCCCAGTAGTTTTTACGTGAACCGAAGTCATACAAAAATACAAATCTTTTCTTTTTATAATATTAGTATAGATTATTGGATAATAATAGTATAACAAAGCTTCATATCTTCTACCTTTGTTATGTATATTTAAAGATATTAACATATGAATCAATCAATCACAATCTATATGTATTTAATAACAATAGAGTTTAGCACGTGCACAATTGAAACTTCTCTATAGAAGCAGATCGAAAACTTAAAGCTTTCGAGCTTTAAACACAGAGGTTAGTTTTTGAAACAAAAAAGTTATGAAAAATGTATGTTATTATGATCCATTTCATGAAGATCATTACCTATAAAAAATTGAAAATTAATACTGTAAACTAGACGAGGTGAGACCGGGTAGGAAAACTAGTGTATCAAAAAGAATCCTTAAAAGTAAACGCTTTATTGGAATTACTTATGTAGCATATATTGCTTGACATCTTAAATCTTAAACCTTTTTTAATTTTTCAACTTAAAGCGTAACTTTTCTAAGGAGATTAAAACTTTTTACATTATCTTATTTACTACCATTTTGATTGTTAAAATTGAAATGTTGGCACAAAAAATAAACTTTAATAAGTCAGTAAATACCTTAGAAATAAAAAATAGAGTATACCAAATATACGTGTTGCTTAAAAGTTAGCAAGCATCAAACAACGTACCGAAACTTTGAATCCCTCAGGTCTAAATTTTCCATTAAACATAGCTCCATTCGGGTAGCAATCAATATATATTTTTTAAGTTATAAGTTTAAAAAAGTTCACTTTTTAACTTATCACTGAAGCACTTTAAGATTACTCAAGCACGCGTACATGTAAACGTCACGTTTTGTAGTAACGTAGACAGCTGATGCTACGGCAGCCTCCGGCTACGGAATCCCGACTGATGTAGCTCGACTCTACGAGCTACGCGCTCTATTCTTCAACGGTCCGCGCAGTCGCATCGCTTGGAAGCCTTCATCTATCTCCGTGCTCTATTAAGTACTATTCTGACACATCTATTTCATCTTGTTTCGTATGTAGTGACGAAAACTGTGATATATGCTACGTTAGAAAAATATTTTCTGTATACCTTATACACTGTCAACACTTTACAGTACTTTTTACGTTTCTTTATTAACTTCTAAAATATTTTTAAAAAAAGAATAGTTAGAGTATGATTTTTTTTTAAGATACCATTATAAGATATTTTAGAATCTAGAAATAATACCAAAGTTTAGATAAAAATCAAACAATATGTGATATGGAACATTGTTAAAAATTCGTTCAATAATACTATTAGAAAAATAATTTTTCACATTACTTAGTTTGAAACAGCAAAGTTTTATAATGTGATCCTACTTGTAGTTTGACCTCGTAGAAAATGGACCGCATTCAAACTTTAGTTGCGGCAACAAGAATTTCATACAATGTAATACACATGACAAATACTCGTAATATTATATCTAGTCCGAGTATTAAATAAATTCCAAGCTTTTTAAAAAAAAATTAAATGTTCTTAAGTCCAATACATTTTTCAATGCAATGTCAAGAATACTAATAATTGGTAGTTTATTTATTATATCAGTAGAGCATAAATCAATCATGGTTGCATATTGAAAATGTTTTTTTTTTCTAGGTAAAAGTTCTACAATACATGTTACAAGGAACAATTTACTGCGAACCACACTTCTTAGCGCCGAAAATTATAATTTACATGAAACGTTTCTATTTTGATGTTAGCCACCTGGCTAGGTTACAGCCATTGTATAGCCAGCCATACATCAACGTCCATGTTAGTCTTTATAATGAATGTCCCTAAAATTCCTTATAATTTAGTTATGTTCGACTGCGCCTGTTTAGATATGGCAGCAATGATTTGTAGATCTCCAAACATTCCATGGTTTTAGGTGATTTTTAACTAGTTTAATTATTATTTTTAGTTAAAATCCTGTTTTAATGATATGACTGTTCTTTGCACTTTTATGGTAGTTTAAGAACTGTACAGAGAAAAACAAAAAAAAAACAATATGTCACTGTCATTAATGTCAAGTTGACAATTTCTTTGTTTTGTTGAAAACACTACCAGTATTTACATATTGTCCTCATTTCTCTTGAACATTGAAATGTTTTACTTTGCGGTTCATTCAATATAAACTCGATATTTAAACTGTATCTCAGTACCGTTACATACGGACTTTCATTTAAGAATTTGTTGTCCCAGTGATTGTTTGTGTAACTTTAAATTTACTTTTTAAAATGAAAGCTAAATCAGGTTTAACGAGATTCCACAACTGTAATATCCTTCGTGGTGGGAAAATAATCAAGGAAGATTTATGGATACGCGACGGTAAAATAATTAACCCGGAGCAAGTTTTTTACGTTGAACAAGCTGAGGCCGATACTACCATTGATTGTGACAATTTACTGATCACTCCAGGATTTATTGACATACAAATAAACGGTAAGTAGGGAACATATAATTTAGTATCTTAAAACAATTGCAAAAAGTTAATAAAAATATAATATGTTCAATATCTGTGTCAAGGGTATGGATGGATTGTATGAAAGAGGATGTGCTTAAGAAGGAAGTGAATTCATCTAATAGAGATGTGGAAGAGCAGCACATAGTGTAACCTCTACACAGAGGTAACCACACGGTTAAGGGCAAATTGATGATGTTTAATATCTTTATCAGGTGGTTGGGGTATTGACTTTTCATTTGATTCTGATGATGTTGAAAAAGGAGTGTACAAAGTGGCTAAGGAACTTCTGGCTCATGGTGTCACATCTTTCTGTCCAACAATGGTGACTTCTGATAAAAAGAAATATGCTTCAATTCTTCCTCGGATCAAGAAGACTCCAGGTGGTAAACATGGAGCAACAATACTTGGAGTCCATCTTGAAGGACCTTTTATTAGCTTAGCAAAGAAAGGTGCACATTCCGATGACTATATTATTAATCCAGACAAGGTAAGTTCAATTGTATTAATAATTATAAGCGCTTAAAAACTATTTCAAATGTCAAGCACTATGCAACTTCCAGGCTGTAAATTCTCTTGTTAAATTGTATTTCTGAGGCTTGATAGTTTATCATTCTGTAGAACCAAAAATGTAAATAATCCTTAAATTTTTGGAATAGATGATGTAACAAATTTTATGTCAATCCTGAACAGATCCATTTTATTTTGCAATGTTTACTCTCAAAAGCAAAATTATAGATATCATATCATGACCTACATTTACAACTTGCTATCTTGTTCATTGAACCCTTTATCAACACTGTTATGTACACAGCTTCAAGTGTCTCATCTTATAATCAATAGAAATACATTTAATACACTAGCTTTAAATTATTGCTGTGATTACATATATTTCAATAATACCAAGTAGATACTCACTCTATTAATGTTTCAGAAATGTATTTAATTTATTACAATAACAATATGCTTGGATTTGGTTCAAACATACCAAATCAAAAAGAAAACTTTTAACAAGACTAAGGGTATGTCCCACCACTGGCTGATAAGAGGCTCAGATAGCTTATTAATGATGTCAGTTATATAAGGAAAGAAAATCCGATATTTCCATCACATGTTTTACATGTTGGATTGTTGTAAGACAATTTAATTATAAAACAAAGAAAATTATAAAACCAAATTACAATTTGGTGGGACAGGCCCTAACAGTTGCGATTGTACAATAAATTATATCTGCTTTATTTTAATGCATCATAGTAAAGTTTTAAACTTTTTGTTTTTTTTAGGGACTAGAATCACTTCATGAAGTCTATGGCTCCCTAGATGATGTTATAATTGTTACCCTGGCTCCAGAATTACCGGGAGCTTTAGATGCAATCAAGGGACTAACAAGTCTTGGAATAAAAGTTGCTCTTGGCCACTCCACGGCGAATCTGGCAGATGGTGAAAAAGCTGTCAAATGTGGAGCTAATTTGATAACACATTTATTTAATGCAATGCTTCCAGTGAGTTATTTACTAACATATTTTTTTTAAACATCGCTTTACTTTTTAATAATGATAGTACTCACTTGGCTTGAATGGTGTGTATGACATGTGTATAGGTTGTCTATCTGCATTTTAATGTTGTACTAAGGTTAATGATGCAATCTTTTTATTATGAAATTTCTAGTTCCACCACCGCGACCCGGGTCTTGTGGGCCTTCTAGCTACTACAACTGAGAAGCAAGTGTTTTATGGTATTATCTCTGATGGCATTCATACGCATCCGGCGGCGCTTCGTATCGCATGCAGAACTAACTGTGATGGTGAGCATAATTTAAAGTAAAGAAAAAATATATCAATCTTCTAAACAAAGAGATTCAAGAAATATATTCAGGAAGCATAGACACTTCACTTGATAAATTCTATTGACAGGTCCTCAAAACCACATGTGTATATAATTAATTGTAATTGTTTTATTTTGAGAAACTAGTTTATTTTATAACAATATATAGAGTCTATTACAATTTTGTTTATAACATTGTATCTTCCAAAGAAGTTACCGGTGAAAAAATGTTCCATTCTAGTCTACATTTCCTAAATGTGTTTGGTTTTAAAACATTTTTTTTACAGGTTTAATTCTGGTAAGTGACGCGGTGGCGGCTCAGGGGTTGCCTGACGGCACTTACTCTATCGGGCCGATGTCCGTCAGTGTTGAGAATGGGCGCGCCTACGTCGTCGGCACCAAGACTCTCTGCGGCAGCACTACCGCTCTCGACGAGTGCATTATTAAATTTAAAGAAGCTACAGGTATATTATCTTAATCTATAGATTAAAATGTAAATAAATCTTAGAAAATAAAAATCCATCATTCCATAGGTATTGACCGCAAGTCGAAAGCAATCTTATAAAAAAAAAATCAGTGTTGCCAACCTTTAAATAAAGTTAGTGATAATAAACAAATGCCCTCGTTCCTTTTTCCTAACCAAAGTCACCTCGCCAGATAGGTAAAAATAATTTTCTTTCGCTGTTTGCTAACTAGTAATGAAAAGATACTTTTTTCCGCACACAACTAATTGCCTAAAGCGAAAAAAAAATCCTAACTGATGACTTTGATAAGGAAAACGAAACCAGGGAACAGTTAGTAGCAAACGTGTAAAAGGGACAACACTTGCATCACCTCTCCATCATTTTGTTCCAGATTGTTCCCTAGAATATGCGCTGGAAACAGCCTCATTACATCCAGCTAAAGCTCTCGGTATAGAACATGTTAAAGGTAACTTAAACTACGGCTGTGACGCAGATTTTGTTATCATGGATCCGAAAACTCTTAAAGTCCTATCAACTTGGATAGCGGGCGAATGCGTTTACACTGCGACTAAATGATTTCTGAATATTCATTTCTTAATTACCTGTTTAGTGCTTTATAATAAAATTTATGAATAGATCAAATCTATTTAAGATACAAATATGTGATTACTTTGCTGAGATAACCATATGTTCTAAATTAATTATTCCTATGTGATGAATGAAATAAATTTTTAATTTACACAAAGTTAAATGAATATTATTAACCCATGTAATGGGTTTAATTTAAGAGAAATTAATTTTACTTGGCACAATTCTTAAACATAGTTAATGTACAAATATTGAATTGTTCATTACTATTTAAACTTTGCCATTGTTTATGACTGACAATGTAATCGTTACCAGTGAAAATGCATTCTATTGTATTTTTAACGTATTTATTATATTATGAACGTCTGAGTTTTTTTTGTTTTATTTTAGAACCATATACAATCAGCTGCATAAAAATGTACACATTTTTGAAACTTTACCATATTGGACTTTGGTTTTAAAAGTACGTGGATACGTGCATACATATTTTTAAACCAAAGACAATTTTCTGAAGTTTTATAAATTGTACACATATTTACGAAGCTGACTGTATTTAAACTATCACCTGCTGTTAATAGGCAATAAAAATAATTATCTTAAAGGCGCCAATGTTTTTGAATTTGGAATAAAACAAGAATATTTAGTGGCATGGAAAATCTTTATTGAAGTAAATATATTTATAAAGTCAGTACAATTTAAGTTCAATAGTTTCCAAAAATATTAAAGTGCAGGTTGCTGATCACCTGGCAATGTTAAATATGATTATTTCTTAATTAAAATACAAGCTAATATTGAGAAAACTGTAATATGTGAATAATAACATGTATATACCTAAATAAAATCATGACAAAAATATATTTTAGGCAGGCTCTGAATTATACTGCTCTGAGATGTTATTAACCTGGCCACAGTACACGACAAAAACTTAACTCCGCTAAATTACGTGAAAGTTCGTATTGTCGCAACGCAACGCAGCACAGCGCTAATACCATTGCAACAACTTACACAAATTCTCATGTAACTTCGGCGGACAATCAATTTGGTCAAACTAAGATGAACAACTAGTTAAAAATAAACCTTTTCCGTCCACTCGTGTGTTCAACAGAAGCTATCTATAGTCCGAACAATAAAATCAATTCCCCTACAGCTTGAGGCGACGCGTCGTGGACAAAATCAGTAGATAACGAGTTGGGCATCTTATTTTATAATAAAACCAAGTTACAAACTACGCAATGTATATTAATGTATACAATATTACTAAGTGTATGTATGTATATAATGTAAATACATTTCATGAAAAACAAAATAATATCATGGAATATTCAAAGAGCCAAAATATTTGAGATTAACTCTACCTCGTTACCATTATAATTCTAAGATCTAGGCACAATGCAGCAGAGACTCCTGTATTGAATAACAAATTTCGTTGAGAGTGGGACAAAACACTAATACACCAATCGACCACCACCGCGCCAGTGGACCGCACTGGACACCTCAGCTGGACTGCGCTCCGAACCCTCGCGGCCACGTCATCGCACGTGGATATGTTGTGCAAGTACTTTGTTACAAAAATAAAACCTGTAGGGCAGATAGCGGAGTGCGTGTCGGGCTGGCGGAGGCAGACCAGTGTGTGTGTCCGGCGGCCGCACTCGCCGCGGCAACACGCCTTCGAGGCAGACTACATCTAATTAAACTTTAACATTTACAACGCTTTCAAATCTTCACGGAGGGTATTGTCTGTTAGATATTTCGTGTCTCCTAAGCCTGCGGCCGTACGCGCGTACGATGTCGCGTCGACCGCTTTCTAACTTTACAATACTTTTAACAGATTTAAATTATTGAGCAATATATATACTACTACGAGAATACAATAGACATTTGCTCGGCTGCACCAACTTTACAAAAAACTTCACGTAAACCCGAAGGTCAAGAACCAATGCACACTCCACAAATGTCAATTTAGTATCATGAATTAAAAATAAAAATCGTAAATCAAAATAAGAAATCTTTGGAACTAAATTAAAATATGCATTCGGATCATGCAAATTACAATAGAAATCAAAATTTAAATAAAAAGATAAAACGAAAAACTCAAGTTTGTAATAACCTAAGATATAACTTAAATCTAATTTGAAAACAAAAGCCATTTAACGTAAACCTAAACGAATACAGGATATCACGGGAATTAGTAATTTTAATAAAAACAAACACAGTTCTCGTATTTGGATGTACAAAGTGTACATAAACATCCGGGGCCGGCAAACCGCAACGCCAATGCACATGTACATTCTGTCCACACGGTCGCGTGCGCTCGTCTGGCTGACTCCAGTCACGAATGTATACATTTGGTATGATATGTTTTGTTTTACCGAACAATTTGAAAAATATCTAAATGGCCGCAACACGAAAAAAAATTATGCTTATAGTTAGAAAAATCAAATCAATTAAAAATAAGAAACTACAATACGTAAATACCAAGAATTGTATATTAAAATATTTGTACTTTTACTGACTAAAGGAAAAACATTGGCGACTGCTAATAATCCTACAATTGTAAAAAATAATTGTAAATTTTTTTTTAAATCGTTAAAAATACGTACAATATCTACACGTGGAATGCAATTAGAATTCTTTAACAATATTAAAAGGTATAATAATATATTAAATTTTTATAATCAGCTCAACAATGTATATAATCTATAATAATTTAAAAGCCTAGATCCAAACTGTGATATTTATTGCACAAGCACTCATGTGGCTTAATAATTCCAATGGGAACAGAGCTCACAACCTCATGTTTATGTTCTGAAATGTGGAGAGGAGAACGAGCGATGCGATGCGAGACGCGACCGCCGCGTCCGCCGCGCGCCGCGCCGCGCCGCCTACAACTTGTCTAGTACAGAGATCACTATACTTGTCGGGCAAGCAGGTGATCAGCTTACTGTGTCCTAACCAGACCGAATCAACTTAAATGAGTTTAAATTAAATTCACCGAAACCCACCCAAATCTCGTACGCGGTCCGAAATACATATACTGATATATATACATTATTGAAATTTACTGCCACAAATTCCACCGAAACTATCGAGCTGTGCTTGGTGCCACAAACCTAGGCAATACGCCCACCTCCAATAGGGAGGGTAACTTTTAAGAGCTCACCTTGTGCGCTGCGAACCCTACGAATATCGCATTAATTGGCACTGAATACGTCTACAAGCGAATTACTCCAAATCTATCCGAAACCCTATTAGAAACGTTAAGAAACAACGGCGAAATACGACGAACAATTACGAGCTTTAAACGGACAAAACTGCAGCCTTCAGTGCCATATAATGTGATAACTACAACTACTCATTTATTGCTGGATACATAAGGGAATATAGATTTAAGAGAAATATATTTACCAAAACTTGTTTTAAAGTGTATATATAGGTAACTTTTAAAGATTCCCGAGAAAGGCTACTGTAATGTACTCTAATGATACAATTATTATCAAGTAATGTCAATGGACAATAGGTACCATTTGACCCGCCATTACCCCGCGACTACACCCCGCGCCGGCGACGCGCCGCCACCTCGCCCCGCCCCGCCACGCCCCCGCCACGCCCCGCCGCCGCGCACGCGCCGCCGCTGTATACCCATTCAAAGTACTACTTTCTACGAAAACATCTACATTCACTTCTACGTTAATTCATGGCAAGAACAAAGGAAACGTTGTCAACGATTATCACCAAAATAATTACGAGTTACAATAATAAAAAAAGATAATACTTTCATTAATACGGCAAATGAACGCCGACAATATAATTTGAAAATTGCGCATATAAATATGATATTTAAACTTCAAATTTATTAATATTGAAATTCACACATAAAATAGTATAATTTGTAAAATTATCCAAAACCTATCACACCACTTTTAATAATTTTATGCAACCCTAAGCAATATAATTAATAGCGTCAAACGCTCCCTTTGGGGCTTTCAAAAGTTTCCTATCGGTTAAAAATGTCACTAACTCAAGAATTTTGATCAATGGACAACAAATAAAAATTTGAATATTATATAATATTAAACCCTGAATATTAATAAAACAAAATAAAATTGGCAACAATTAGTAACTAATTTTTACGTATAATATACAATAAAATAATTACAATGTGCATGCACAAATATCATATGAAAATAATTTGGCAGTAAAAATTCGTAACTCTAAAGGCCTAAAAACACACTGGCCAAAATACTATTTAAATATAGGCCCGGAACATATTAAAAGGAAACAGTAAAATGACAAAATCAGAGTATTAATCACACCTATCATCCGCGAAGGGTATGTATAGACTCATTTTAACCTAGTTAAAATAAACAAAATAAAATTCCCTAATACTATCGGGACAAAAATCCTGAAACAAATAACTTAAAAAAAACAATATGAAAAATAAACCCAAAAGTTACTCACTAAATAAATAGAGGATTCAGACTCAACGTCAAAATTCAAATTATCACTGCTGGCTTGTGGCCCCTGACCCCCCCCCCCCCGTCGCCCCACCACCTCCGCCCCAACCTCCTCCCGCGGCGCAAACTGTCTTTCACAATGTTGAAGTCTTGTGTTGGAAGTGTACGGAACGCATACAGAGAGAACGTACTGGATGTCTGGTGACGTCAGCAAAGTGGGCGTGGCTTCCGTATTGATAGCTGAACACAACGCATTGCTGCAATTTAATTCTAAGATCGAACGTAACGTCATAAAAATATATTTGGTGAAAAAAAAACAAATCTTTCAGATACAAGTAAAAAAAGATACTACTTGATTATCTGAGTGGTAAGTGGCAATAAAAAATACTTTTAATTGTTGACTTTGCAATCACTTATGATGTAAATACCATAGCGGTAGTAGGATACCAGTATCATTCTCACTGTATACGCTCCCTTGTTGTCTATATTGCTGATATCACATAGAATGTCATTAATGTAATTAAACATTTTAAAACTGTTCCAAAACACAACATGTAAATCAAATATTACTAATTAAGTACATAGGTTAGATTATATATGTATAATGAATTATTAGAATAAGCTTGTGATAATATTATGGCCCAGCAACAGTCGTATGCGACCTGGCGTGGTGTCTGTCGCCGCACATACGTCTATTGCTTACAAAATCAGGAACTTAAATTGTTCAAATTATTATTATTAGCGCTAATATCTGTAAGAGCAAAGTATAATTGCTTTGGCTGTTCGTTTAATTTAGCAGAAACGATTAGAGAGCATGGCATTAAATTATACATTAACAAAATATCACATATATCAGGTG